AACTTTCGCGCTTCTCCCAATGTCCCAACTACCTGGTGTACAAACTGAATGACAATTACTACACTGCTTCTACACCCCAGTTAGCACAGTTACAGAATATAATGCTCTCACCATGATATTCAGTGACAGCACCAGTACCGCCAGATGCAGCACCCCCAGCGCCAGCACCTACAGCTCCAGGGTCTCCACCTCCAGGGTCGACAGCTCAAGCGCCTCCAGCGCCAGTGCCTCCAGCTCCAGCGCCTCCAGCGCCAGGGTCTCCAGCTCCAGCTCCTCCATCTCCAGTGCCGCCAGCGCCAGTGCCTCCAGCTCGAGAGTCTCCAGCTCCAGCGCCAGCACACCATCACCCTGAGTCAAGTGTGAAGGTGTGCAAGGCCTCAGCAGGCGCAGTATCAGGGAGAGAAGACTCACTAGCACCTAGAGCAGCAGCCTCTATACCTGGGTTGGGCGGCACACACAGGTAACAGTCACCCTCAGCACTGACGGACAAGGCATACATGGCAGCAAGGAGAGCATCATAGTCAAGAGCAAAGATATCAACTCCATACCTAAGCAGCTCTGCCCAACGGGGGCGCTCAGCCTCGTCACCAAACTCTGCGGGCCAAGCGTCGTCTAGGCGGGAGAAGCAGCGGTGCTGAGAGTGAGGCTTCCCACATGTCTGACAAGCACGGTCACCCGTGCGAATGACATACGGGCAGCGAACACTACCCCCAGACGCCCCACGCTGAGCAAACCACTCACGAAGCTGCTGGGGCGAAGGGGTCTCGCTCCGACGCTGCTGCTGCTGCCTCTGGCCACAGCCAAAACCTCCCCTCTGAACAGCTCCTCCCCGACTGCCACCACTCCCACTGCCGCCACTACCGCCACCCCCACCGCCGCCACCACTACCGCCACCACTACCGCCACCAAAGCCTCCACTCCTGCCACCACTCCCACCGCTGCCACCACCTCCGCTACCTCCACCACCTCCACTGCCGCCACCACCACTACCCCCGCTGCCACCGCCACCACTCCTGCCACCCTTGCCCTTGCTGCTGCGGCGCTTCCCACTAATAGTAGAAGTAGCACCGACATCCTCAGCACCAAGGATGTCAACAGCAGCAGTAGAAGCGTAGGAGGGGGCAAGGGGGGAGGGGGAACACCCCTCAAAGAAGGGCATGCAAGGAGTGCCACGAGCGGCACCTACAGCGACTACGCTAGTCTTAGCTGCAAGGAGGTGCTGCTCGAGCAGGTCGACAGTGAGGTCAGTGGGGTCAAGTGTGAGAAAGTGGTCCCTGACAGCGCGAAGAGAGTCAGGGAGGCGGGTGACTATGAAGTAGAGAGTGATGTACATCGGGGGCGGGTTCCTGTCAAGGAACTTGGCTGGGAGGGCAGCGCGGTAGCGAGCGTCGCTTGTGCGGAGGTGGGTAACGAGGTCCTCGACTGTGGCAAAGGCGGACAGCTCGGGAAACAGGTAGGGCAGTATAAGGCGGCCTAGAGCAGTAGTGGCAGGGGAGGAGTAACGAGCGACTACAGCGTCGTACAGTGCTTTAGCAGTCTTGTGCTGGCCAAAGTGAGCGCGTTCGGCTAATGGCAGGTGGTTTCGAACGGCAAAGCGAGCAGCAGCGTCATGCGTAAGCCACTGTGAGCGAGTCGCACTGTCAGCTGTGGCGGGAGGGGCGAGAGAGGCTCCAGACGTGTGGTCAAACAACGAAACGCTGTCTTTAGAATCGCTCAGTAGGTACAGCTGTAAGTCGTCGAGCCACGTATCGAACTGGATCGGACGGCCCTCATAATCGAAGGTGAGGACACTGAGAGAAGCCATAGCGGGCAGAGCAGGGTGGCGCGCTACCAGCAGAGCAGCACACAGGTAGGGCGGCGCGCGAGCACTAGGGAAGCGCTCAAGGCAGGGCAGGGCGGCGCACGGCTAGGGCGGCCAGCAGGGCGGCGCACAGCAGGGCGGGCAGCAGCAGGGCGGGTAGTAGCCGGGCGGCGTAAGCAGCAGGGCGGGCAGCAGCCGGGCGGCACAAACAGCAGGGCGGGCATGCGGGCTGCAAGGGGGGCGGCGGGCGGGCTGCAAAAGGGCGGCGAGTGGGCTGCAAAGGGGTGGCGAGCGGGCTGCCAGAGGGCGGCGAGCGGGCTGCAAGGGGCCGCGAGCGGGCTGCCAGAGGGTGGCGCGCGGGCCTCAAGGGGCGGCGAGCGGGCCGCAAGGGGCGGCAAGCGGGCTGCAAGGGGCGGCGCGCAGGCTGCAAGGGGCGGCGAGCAGGCTGTCGGAGGGCGGCTCGCGGGCAGCAAGGGGCGGCGAGCGAGCTGCAGGGGTGGTGAGCGGGCCGCAAGCGAGCGGCGAGCGGGCTGCAGGGGCGGCGAGCGGGCCGCAAGCGAGCGGCGAGCGGGCTGCAGGGGCGGCGAGCGGGCCGCAAGAGGGCGGCGAGCAGGCTGCAGGGGCGGCGAGCGGGCCGCAAGCTAGCCGCGAGCGGGCTGCAGGGGCTGCGAGCGGGCCGCAAGCGGGCGGCGAGCGGGCTGCAGGGGTAGCGAGAGGGCTGCAGGGGCGGCGCGTGGGCTGCTAAGGGCGGCACAGCGGCCAGCAGGGCGGCACACCGTTGGGGCAGGGTGGCAGGGCAGCTAGTGGGGCAGCTCTGTGGTGGGCCCTAAAAAAATTCGGCCCTAGGGAAGGACCTGCTATGAAACCATGTCAAACTATACAACGAGAATGATGCATTGAACAGAAAGTTGGGTACAAATACTAACCATAATTGGGTTGTACCCCTTATGGGCTACCCCACTACAGCCTACACAATATAAGCACTATAACATTATGACATGATTGATAAGGTATACCTTTCATGCTTTTCCTCAAAACACAAGTGTGGTATGGGTGTCAACAAATCTCATATATATATATATATATTAATTTAGCATGAGATCAAGCCGCCCGGACTAGTGCATGGGCATTTTATCAACACAAACGTAAAATTAGGAAACAAGCAATTACACAGCACATAATCAATCGTCAGGAAATACGGTAGGATGTACAAAATTGGAGTATCATGCAGTGCGAAAAAACTCATCATGCATCATGCGGTTGTCAATTTCATATCGGCTCAACTTTGAAGCCTTTGAAAGTCCTACAGTACGAGGAAAATAATTGCTCACTTGTGTGGTGCATGATGTTGTGCCATAAGGCGGATACCAGTAGGTATGAACTTGTGAGCATGTATGCAAACGCGAGCAGCAGTCAGCAGCACCCATCTGCCTACCACTTGGTGTGCTTCATTTGCTACAGCCTGCAGCCTGTGCCGCACCTCCCCTTGCACTCAGGAGCAGCGCCCAGCAGCAGCACTCACGAGCAGCAGTCAGCAGCAGCAGCAACAGCATCAGCAGCACCCATGTACCTACCACCGGGTGTGCTTCATTTTCCTGCAGCCCGCACCTCCCCTGTGAAAAGCAGCAGAAGCGATTGCTGCATGCAAAAGTCAGCATGCATACTTGCATACACCCATGAGCAGCACTTATCAGCAGCACCCGTCTGCCTGGCGCCTGTGTGCTTCATCCACTGCTCTCTGCGGCAGCTGCCGCACCCCACCTGTGATGCGCGCATACAGCCTCCCCGTTCCTTAAATGCACTGCTGCCTGCCACTTCCACCACGCATCCCCCCTTGCCGCAGCAGCAGGAGCAGCAGCAGCAGGAGCCAGCAACAGCAGCGTCAGGAGGAGTGTTAGGAACAACAGCAGTCAGCAGCACCCGTCTGCCTGTCGTTTGTGTGCCTCATCAACTGCACCCTGCAGCCTGTGCCGCACCTCCCCTGTGATGAACGCATACAGCCTCCTCATTGCCTCGTCCTTCACTGCATTGCTGCCCCCTCCCACTTCCACCACCGTTGCTTCCCTGCCTGCTGCTGGAGCAGCAGGAGCGTTCGGAGCAGCAGCATCAGCAGAACCAGCAAGAGCAGCAGTGGAATCAGAACCATCAGCAGTGGGAGCAGAAGCAGCAGCAGCAGAATCAGAACCAGCAGTAGCAGCGGCAGCAGTGGGGGGGACGGCAGCAGGCGGAGTGGGTTCGACCCCAAAGGGTGAGTCGTCTGGGTGGTCAGCAGCGTGGGCTGCAGCTGCTCTGAGGGCCGGCATGTTGAATTGGAACGGCTCCCCCACCACCACTGCTATGCGCTGCCCCCACAGCGGCGCTATAGCCCTGTGCCCGAACGCACGCGGCTCAGGCATGACCTGCGTGTGGGAATGACGGGAAAGAGTGAGGGAGTGAGTGAGGGGAGTGAGAGAGAGTGAGAAAGGGTGTGCAAGCATGTGTAAGTAGATTGGCTGCCCCACCAGCAGCACACATTCAATGCAATACGCACCATTCACCCCACCAATGCAATACGCACCATTCACCCCACCAATGCAATACGCACCATTCACCCCACCAATGCAATACGCACCATTCATCCCACCAATGCAATACGCACCATTCATCCCACCAATGCAATACGCACCATTCACCCCACCAATGCAATACGCACCATTCACCCCACCAATGCAATACGCACCATTCACCCCACCAATGCAATACGCACCATTCACCCCACCAATGCAACACGCACCATTCACCCCACCAATGCAATACGCACCATTCACCCCACCAATGCCACGTTCTCATTCTCAATGCATTGGGGCTTGTTCATGGGGCCCACAAAAGCGAGCGGGCGTTGAGGGAGGAGGGCGTGCACGTTGCACACAGGTCAGGCAAGAGAGGGACATGACGGGTGGTTGCAGACTCCCCCCCGCTGCATGCACAAGCCACTCACATTCTCAAACCCGCTGTGTGCGACACAGAGGATGATGGGGGGACGGGCGAGGTGCAGCGGTCGATGAGCGACACCAGCCCCCACTTGAGGCGAGAGAGTGGGCGCAAGCACATCAATGGGACTAGTTTTGAGACGTCTCAAAACTAGACACCAGCCCCCACTTGAGGCGAGAGAGTGGGCGCAAGCACATCAATGGGACTGCTGCATGCACAAGCCACTCACGTTCTCAAAGCCACTGTGTGCGACACAGAGGATGATGGGCGGCACGGGCGAGGTGCAGCGGTCGATGACCGACGCCAACCCCCACTTGAGGCGCGCCAATGCCACGTGCTCCTGAGTGATACGGCCCTCTGGGAAGATGTGCAGCTGGGGAGGGGTGGAATGAGGTGGAAGGCAGACGAATGCGGTGGAATGGGGTGGGAGGTATTCGGAAAGAGCTGAAGAGACACTTGAGATGCGACAAGGCGATGTGCTCCTGGGTGATGCGACGCGCCTCTCCTGGAAAGATGTGCAGCTGGGGAGGGGAGTGGAATGTGGTGGAATGGGGTGGGATGGGTTGGAGGTATTTGGAAAGAGCTGACATGGGATTCTGGTGCACGCCAATGCCACGAGCTCCTGGGTGATGCGGCCCTCTGGGAAGATGTGCAGCTGGAGAGGGGTGGAATGCGGTAGAATGCGGTGGAGGAGAATGGGGTTGGAAAGGAACCGAGTCGTCGTGCCAGGCCCGCGAGCTCCTGGGTGATGCGGCCCTCTGGGAAGTTGTGCAGGCAGGGAGGAGTGAAATGCAGTGGAATGGGTGGAGTGCGGTGCAATGGTTTGATGGTATTTGGAAAGAGCTTAAGGGAAAACTTGAAATGCGCCAAGGCTACATGGTCATGGGTGATGCGGCCCTCTGAGAAGATGTGCAGGCAGGGAGGGGTGGAATGCGGTGAAATCCGGTGGGTTGGTTGGAATACTTGGAATGCAGCCCCTCCACTCACCATCCCCCCTCCACTCACCATCCCCCCTCCACTCACCATCCCCCCTCCACTCACCATCCCCCCTCCACTCACCATCCCCCCTCCACTCACCATCCCCCTCCACTCACCATCCCCCTCCACTCACCATCCCCCTCCACTCACCATCCCCCCTCCACTCACCATCCCCCTCCACTCACCATCCCCCTCCACTCACCATCCCCCCTCCACTCACCATCCCCCTCCACTCACCATCCCCCTCCACTCACCATCCCCCTCCACTCACCATCCCCCCTCCACTCACCATCCCCCTCCACTCACCATCCCCCTCCACTCACCATCCCCCCTCCACTCACCATCCCCCTCCACTCACCATCCCCCTCCACTCACCATCCCCCTCCACTCACCATCCCCCCTCCACTCACCATCCCCCTCCACTCACCATCCCTCTCCACTCATATCCCCCCTCCACTCACCATCCCCCCTCCACTCACCATCCCCCCCTCCACTCACCATCCCCCTCCACTCACCATCCCCCTCCACTCACCATCCCCCTCCACTCACCATCCCCCCTCCACTCACCATCCCCCTCCACTCACCATCCCCCTCCACTCACCATCCCCCCTCCACTCACCATCCCCCCTCCACTCACCATCCCCCTCCACTCACCATCCCCCTCCACTCACCATCCCCCCTCCACTCACCATCCCCCTCCACTCACCATCCCCCTCCACTCACCATCCCCCCTCCACTCACCATCCCCCTCCACTCACCATCCCCCTCCACTCACCATCCCCCCTCCACTCACCATCCCCCTCCACTCACCATCCCTCTCCACTCACCATCCCCCCTCCACTCACCATCCCCCCCTCCACTCACCATCCCCCTCCACTCACCATCCCCCTCCACTCACCCATCCGCCCGCACTGAGCCGCTGAACTGCCTCTGTCATGCCCGGCTGGTAGATGCCTCCGTGGCGGTCGATGGGGATGCACTTGGCTGATAACACGGGGTAGTGGCAGGGTGGGGAAGGGTCACGAGGGTTGTGGAGGGGTGGGGAAGGGTCGCGAGGGTTGTGGAGGGGTGGGGAAGGGTCGCGAGGGTTGTGGAGGGGTGGGGAAGGGTCGCGAGGGTTGTAGAGGGGTGGGGAAGGGTCGCGAGGGTTGTAGAGGGGTGGGGAAGGGTCGCGAGGGTTGTAGAGGGGTGGGGAAGGGTTTGCAAAGTGGGCTGGAAGCAACACAAGGCTCCTCGCCCCTCCGTCATGCCGGGCTGGTAGATGCCTCCGTAGCGGTCTATGGGGATGCACTTGGCTGGTGGGCGCAAGGGAGAAAGGAGGGAGGAGCACCGGGGGTTGAGGGGTTTGGAATGTGCTGGAGGGGAACACGAGTCCCCTCGCTTCTCCGTCATGCCGGGCTAGTAGATGCCCCCATAGCGGTCGATGGGGATGCACTTGGCTGGTGGCGCCAGGGGTGGGGGGAGGGAAGTGTATCAGGGCAAGGTGAGGTTGGAAACGATTTTTGAGTCGACTCAAAAATCGACTCACTACACGCGGAAATGGTGAGGTTGGAAATGTGAGCTCGAGATTAACACGAGTCCCCTCGCCCCTCCGTCATCCCCGCTGGTAGATGCCCCCATAGCGGTCGATGGGGATGCACTTGGCTGGTGGAAATAGTGTGGGAGAGGGGGATAGGGGGAGAGAACAAGGGGAGGGGAGGGGAGTGGAGGGGGCATGAAACAGATGTGCTGTGGTATGATGACAGGGCCCTGGCATTCATAGCGCCCCCCTGCTCCCCTCCCCTTGTTCTCTCCCCCTATCCCCCTCTCCCACACACCGTTGCCACCAGTGCCAGATGTGCTGTGGTGTGATGACAGGGCCCTGGCATTCATAGCGCCCCCCTGCTCTTAACACTTCTAGATTTCTCTCAAGAACGTGTCCCTGCCATTGGCACTGACTGAGGCGGAAGGGGTAGGTAGGCGGTGAAAGGGTGTGTGAAGCAGATGTCACGCGTTGTGAGCGGCCAGCGGCAATAACAGGGGCCCCAGCATTGATAGGGACCCAACACCGATACCCCAGCCCCCAGCACTGGACAGTTCTAGATTGCATGGACACCCTTCCAGCCTATCCCTAACATTCGCAACCACCGCCACAGAAATGGTAGGCGGTGAAGGGGTGGGTGAAGGGGTGCGTGAAGGGGTGGGTGAAGGGGTGGGTGAAGGGGTGGGCGAAGGGGTGGGCATGGGGACACGGGCTTGGCATGAACTCAACTCACCCAGGCGGAAGAGGTAGGCGGTGAAGGGGTGTGTGAAGCAGATGTCACGTGCTGTGAGCGTCCAGCGGCACTTGTGCGGATCGGAGAAGCGCAGCCGCCACTGGTTCCAGAGGAGCGGGTCGTCGAGACTGGTAGGATGATAAGGGGGAGTGGGATGGAGAGGGTAAAAAACAACGGGTACACGCGTTGAGAGGAGGTCTTGGGCTGGAGAAGCGCCAGCGAGGTGACTTTTGAGTCGACTCAAAAGGCACACGCGTTGAGAGGAGGTCTTGAGCTGGAGAAGCGCCAGCGAGGTGACTTTTGAGTCGACTCAAAAGGCACACGCGATGAGAGGAGGGTCTTGGGCTGGAGAAGCGCCAGCGAGGTGACTTTTGAGTCGACTCAAAAGGCACACGCGATGAGAGGAGGGTCTTGGGCTGGAGAAGCGCCAGCGAGGTGACTTTTGAGTCGACTCAAAAGGCACACGCGATGAGAGGAGGGTCTTGGGCTGGAGAAGCGCCAGCGCCACTGGTTCCACAGGAGAGGGTCGTCCAGACTGGTAGGGCGAGGGGGGGGACAGGGAAAAGAGGGAGAAGCAAGGGGGTGGGGCCAATGGACCGATGTCGCGCGCCTTGAGCGTCCATCGGCACAGATGCGGATTTGAGAAGCGCAGGCGCCACTGGTTCCAGAGGAGCGGGTCGTCGAGACTGGTGGAGAGAGAGGGGAAGTGGAGGGGCGATGGAAGATGGGAGATGCGAACGAGAGACTTGGATTGGAGAAGCGCAGGCGCCACTGGTTCCACAGCAGCGGGTCGTCTGGACTAATGGAGGGGGGAAGAGGGGAAGAGAGGGGGAGTGCGAGGAGGGGGTTACGACAGATGAGCATATGGACGGGAGGAAGAAGAAGAGAGAGGGAGGAAGAAGCGCAGACAAGGGGATGGGGAGATAAGAGAAAGTGGGATGGAGGGGTAACACAAGTGGGACACAAGCGATGAGCGGAAAGTTTGGTTTCAAGAAGCAAAAGCGCCATTGAATCCACAGAAGGGGGTCATGGAGACTGGTGGAGGAAGAGGGGAAGGGGAAAGATGGGCACAGTGGTAGACGGGAAGAGAGTCTAAGGGTCCCACCCACAAGTACAGGCGCCACTGCGTGAACGTTCACGCGTGCACGAAGCTCAAAGGGATGGATGCGGCACGAAGCTCAAAGGGATGGATGCGGCACGAAGCTCAAAGGGATGGATGCGGCACGAAGCTCAAAGGGATGGATGCGGCACCACGCGATCCGACACAACCCCACGCGACCACACGTGTCCCCATGGGACCCCACGCAACCCCACGCGACCCCATGCGACCCCATGCGTCCCCATGCGACCCCATGCGTCCCCATGCGACCCCACACCCCAACACTGCGCGCACGTGGACATGTGGTTGCTGATGGTAATCAGCGGCGTGCCTTTAGGTCTCCGCCTCATGAGCTCCAGCAGCGTGTCTTCGTTCACCACAGCCGTGCGGTTCACCACGTGTGTGTACGTGAACGTCCACGCGCGCACGAAGCTCAGAGAGAGAGGTGGGGCCGTGCGTCCCCATGCACGCAACCCCATGCGACCCCACGAGACCCCATCCGACTCCATGAAGCCCAATGCGACCCCACGAGACCCCATCCGACTCCATGAAGCCCAATGCGACCCCACGAGACCCCATCCGACTCCATGAAGCCCAATGCGACCCCACGAGACCCCATGCGACCCCACATGAAGCCCAATGCGACCCCACGAGACCCCATGCGACCCCACATGAAGCCCAATGCGACCCCACGCAACCCCACTCGTCCCCAACCCACTAGCGCACGCACGTGGACATGTGATTGCTGATGGTAATGAGCGGTGTACCAGCAGGCCTTCTCCTCACGAGCTCCAGCAGCGTGTCTTCATTCACCACAGCCGTGCGGTTCACCACGTGTGTGTACGTGAACGTCCACGCGTGCACGAAGCTCAGAGACAGCCGCCGCGGGATGCCGCGCTGGTAGCTGTTCTCCGCCACGCTCGCCATGGGGGACGCGGGGCGGATCTCTATCCCCGCTACTGTGTTGTCCCCCCCGCCCTCCTCCCCGCCTGCTGCCCCCGCACTCGCGCCTCCCCTGCCGCTTCCGCGTGCTCCCCCTCCCGCGGGTTCGGCTCCCGAGCTCCCCCCCACGTCGATCCGGACCTCTCCTTCCCCGCCCTCGCTCGCCTTCTCTCCTCGCGACGGTTCGTTGCTCGAACTACCAGCATTACCAGCGCCGGCAGCACCAGCAGCAGCATCACCAGCAGGAGCATCAGCAGCTGCATCAGTAGAGGCATCAGCAGCACTACCAGCAGCACCAGCAGCACCAGCAGCAGCACCAGCAGCAGCGGCACCACCACTGCCTCTCGCCGCCTCGTCCGACTTGCGCCACGTCACCACACGCCCGCCCTCCCACGAGACCACCTCCAATCGCTGCTCCAGATCCAGCGTCCCCCGCATGCACGGCGAAGGCAGCACGGACAGGCACGATGGGGTTACCACTCGCCGATTTCGCCAGCGCACGGCGCCAGAGTAACAAAGCCAGTACCAGGCCTGCAGGAAGAGGCTGCGGATGAATATAATGACTGTAAAGACGAGCGCAGGGATGAATATCACCCCCGCGCCTACTGCTGAGATAATCTGCACGAAACGCCAGTAGGGGGTGGTGTTGGCGCGGATGCCCCCGCCCCACGTGCGCCCTCCATCCGCTGTTGTTCCTCTCGCTCCTGCTCTTGCTCCGGCTGCTGCTGATCCTGCTGCTCCTGCTCCTGCTGCTCCTGCTGCTGCTCCCGCTGCTGCTGTTGGGGCTGTTTGCGAGGGGTCTGGTTGCGGTGAGTTTCCTGACTGCTCTGCTCCAGTCGTACCTGGTGCTTCTCCCTCCCCCTTCTGCTGCCCCTTACCTGCCCTTTCTCCTGCCCCTTCTCCTGCCCCTACTGCAACAGCTGCTGCTGCTTCCGCTCCTGCTTGTCCCTCCCCACTCTCCGTCTCGCCCGTCTCGTCCCTCCCTTCTCGCCCCATCCCACTGCTCTCACTTACGCAAACGTTATCCTTGGGAACCTCAATATCCAACACCGTTTCCTGCGTCCCTCCCCCCACAGCCTCCGCCACTTCCCCTTCCCCATTTCCCCCATCTTCTCCGCCCCCCCCTCCGGTCAACGGCTCCCGCTCCCCGCTCGCGCAGTCTAGATCCATAACGTTCCCCGACCTTCCCCCTCCGCCTTCCCCCTTCCCCCTTTCCTCGCCGCCAACCACCTCCGCATGAACTCCCCCTCCCTCCCCCAGTTCCCCTTCCCTTTCCCCAATTAACCCTTCCCCCGCTTCCCCCTCCCCCCCGATCAACCTCTCCGCCTCCAGCGTGGCGGCTTCCGCAGATGCGGGAAAAGAGGAAAGGCGGGGCGGGGATGCGGAAGTCGGGGGGGAAGGGGAACCGTGGGCGGGCGGAAGCAGAGGGTTGCAGAGGGGACAGGGGGGTTGGCGGAGGAGGAAACGGGGGAGGAAATGCGCGCCCGTGGTGGCGGGGGTGGAGAGAGGGAAGGGGGAGGATGCGGAAGGAAGGGAGGCTAGTGTGATGGGTGCAAATACAAGAGCGTGACCGTAGGATAGGAATCGGGTCGTAGAAATCGCGTTAAGACAGTAGCTTTGGAGTACTAAATCATAAATGAGTATATGGTGCTATGTGGAGTGGGTTTAGAATGGACCGCAGGAAAAGAGACGATCGGATCGACAACCGTAAGGAATAAGACTCCAGGGTACACGGTAAGGAACGAGGCAGGTGCTGTGGTGATTTAAAGACTGTTACGCGAAGGCGTTAACGAGCCGTTGGCAGCGAATTGAATTACGAAGCTGTAACAAGAATCTGTATGCGCAAGAACTAGACTGTGCGAGACGAAGACGTCTACCGGACCAGATGTACCTTCACAAGTTGCGAGCTGGAACCGCGATAATCTAGCCAAGCTGACAGAACGTCTCTATCTGTCAGGAAGAAAGAGTAGACGTCTGTGTGTCTTGTCTTGAATTCAATGCAACGCAATTGCATACACTGTCGTCACGAACATAACACCTACGCGAGTCTACCAATCAGGCAGTCGCTTGCTTGCGACGTCTCGTAAATTCGATCCTGTCGCTCAGATCCATTGACGCATTTCCCTGTTTTGCAAGCCTCCTTTCGTGCGAGCCTCGCCTTCACTGCGACAAGTTGGTGGAGAGGAGGTAAGAAGTGTAGCTCACAAGACTTGCCCGTGCGCTAATGCAAAGCGCCGGGGCGCTCAGGCACGCAAGACACAACACTCGTATGGTCGCGAGCCGCGACGGACCCTGAGGAAACGCTCTTTCTTGCACGAGCTTGCGATGAAATTGATGACAATGAGTCAAGACATGGTGGACGCACCAACTTGGAATCAGGGCTGTCGAAGTCCCTGGGACCAAAACTTTGAGTCCTGAGGTGCTCAAATTCTGGCCCTGATTTTCACGGGCGCAGGCCAAAATCAAGGCTTTAAATCCGGGCCTCTAAGGAAAGTCACTTTTCCCTAATGTCCAAAGGAGGACATGCCTTCTACTTAGCAGAGGGAAGGTGCATACTCAGCGCTCAATAATCTTACAGCCTCTACATCGTAGGCAAAAAAAATGGGAGGGAGGGGTTCGTAGGCAAAGTCATGGAGGGGGTGGGGGAGCAGCTGCGGGATGGGGGGTGGGGGGGTGTGCTCAACACAGAAACCAAAACTTGGATTCAGGGGAAGGCCCAAACAAGGCCCTTAACTGTCACGGGTGCCATGCCGTTCTAGCACTTTAAACGGTCGAGCTGCTCCAAGCGTAACCCGGAATGTTCAGGGCATTAAGGCCAAATGGCCTTGCTTCTCCAGCCCTGCTTGGAATATCCTTTTTGCAAACTCACCAAAGAAAGCACACTTTTTGGTTTGCTGGTGGGAAGTCCAGCGTTTCGAGGATGCACGAACTGCACGAATCCAGATCTCCTTGCCTTCCGTGTATTTTGAAACGAGTTTTTTTTCCAAAAGCTTCATAATTTCCATAGGTGCCAAGGGTTGTACAACAACACTTAGCGCTAGAGTTACTCATGTGGTTTGCCTTGAGTGAAGAATAGTGTACATGTTTTCAGAAAGTATAGGAGGATCAAACACGACAACACCTAGACGGGCAGCATTCGGGGAAGCGATCTGTTGCTCCGAGCCGAGCCAAACATGGCACGATGTTGGCATAGAAAGCATCGCGCGGGAACTCCCAATGTCAGGGGCGCGTCGTGAGGAGACCACGGCGTTTGTCGGGAACAGATATCATCAGTTTTACTACCTATTCCTTGACTAGGGGGCACTAGTTAGGCAGTCCAAAGCAAGGTCTGAGCACCAATCACAGGCAATGCTATTCTCAACCCTCTTGCAAAAGCTCCTTGATTGTTTCTGTAGCATCCTTTGGCACTTGCCTTCCCGGCACTCGCACCTTGATCAGGGTGAGGTACCTGGCAGCGACACAAGGGGGATGGCAGAGAGCAGAGCAGGATGTGAGAATGATGCAGTGCTTGTGAACGCTCAAATAGTATCACACACATACTGAGAGGCAAAAAGAGGCAGGCTAAGCACAAACGGGTGGCCACTCTAGGAAACAGCTAGTCTAGGGATACAGACAGGAGCTTATTAGTGTGTCATGCAGTAACCAGGCGAGGATTGACTTACTCATCGACTGAGAAGTAGCGATTGTGGTCCTTGATGTATGCCAGGAGTGCCTGAGAGCGCGAGAAGGAACAAACAGACAGACAGTGAAGAATGAAAGAATCAGTGGAATATTGCAGCAACGGAGGCACTCATGTGGGGAATAAGGGGGGAGTAAGAGCAGGGGAGGGATGAGCGGTTGTTACCAAATTATGTCTACTGATTCGCCCTAAAGTGCAATGCGCACCTCATAGGGGCGGTTGAGCAGCTCACAGCACTCACCTCTCAACTGCAGCAGCACACACCTCACAGCAGCACTCACCTCATAGGGGCGGTTGAGCAGCTCATAGTATTCGCCCACGCGGTCCAGACTCAGCTGCACGCTCTGACTGCCGTTCGCATTCAGTGTGGCCAGGGTCTGACGGGCAGGATGGAATGGGGGGAGAGCGGGGGAAGGTGTCAGTGGCAAGGCTAGGGTCTGCAGCTCGTAGTACTTGCCCATGCGGTCCAGATGCACGCTCTGACTGCCGTTTGCATTCAGTGTCGCCAGGGTCTGACGGGAAGGATGGAATGGGTGGGGCAAGAGGGAATGACGGACACGGAGGGATGGGGGGCGGTTCAGCAGCTCGTAGTACTGACGGTCCAGACATGAGCTGCTTAGGACCCGACACGGTCCAGACTCAGCTGCACGCTCTGACTGCCATTTGCGTTCAGCGTTGCCAGGGTCTGACGGGGCAAGGAGGAGGCAAGGGGGAACGGGGCAAGGAGGGAGGGGACAAGGGGCAACGGGTCAAGGAGGGATGGGGCAAGGGGCAACGGGTCAAGGTAGGATGGGGCAAGGGGCTACAGGTCAATTGCTGAGGGTGAGAGTAGCTGGGTTTGATACGTACATGAGGTATGAACAAGGAGAATACGTACAAAAGCATGGGATTCATATGCATGGGATTCATATGCATGGGATTCATATGCATGGGATTCATATGCAGAAGTGAATTCACCTGCTGCAGGCCGATGCAGTTGCGCTGAACCTGCCGCACTCCCAGCGAGTTGAGGTGTGTTTTGAGTCGACTCAGAATACAATAAAAAGGCATGGAAGCATGTGCTCGGACGGTAGTCAATTCAATTCACCTGCTGCAGCGCGGTGCAGTTGCGCTGAACCTGCCGCACTCCCAGCGACTTGAGGCGTATTTTGAGTCGACTCAACATACAAATAAAGAAGTACAGAAAAGATGTGCCTGGTAGTCACTTCACCTGTTGCAGCGCGATGCAGTTACGCTGCACCTGCCGCACTCCCAGCGAGTTGATCCCCGGAAGCTCTGCCAGAGCCTGGTTGACCGGGGGAGAGCAGGCGGGCGGGGAGGCGGGAGAGGAGGGGGAGGGAGGGGGACAGACAGCAAGAGACAAAGGGAGCACAAGGTAGAAGTGAGAAGGCAGGACAGCAAAGGGAAAAGCTGAGAACACGAGGAATGGGTTGATTGATTTTCTGCAATGCTGCCAGGATTTGGAAAGGGTGGAAAGAGAGGAGAGGAGGACGAACTGGGATGTGTGTGCTTCATCCCCTCCAGCTCATCTAAACACCTGTAGATTCAAATCGACCCGAAAAGAAAATATGCTGTCTCAAACCACCTCTCAAATGTTAATTTAAGTTGGGGCACAAAAAACAAAAACGATCATATGAGCAACAACAATACAATCAGCACGCACAGCTGGATAAGACCCGTGACAGTGAGGCTGCAAACACTCCCAACTTGCTAACTAGCATGGCGAGCGTACACTCTGTGCACGCAAACATAGCAGCAAGGTGCTTTGAGAGAGGAGCTTACCCGGATAAGGCCCGTGGCGGCGAGGCTGCAGACGCCCCCAAAGACATAGTAACGGCGGGCAGGCGCGATGAAGACCGTCATTTCCTCGTCCACTCGGGTGAGCTGTCCAAGGAGAGAGGGGGGAGAGAGAAGTGGAGAGTGGGGGGTGGGGGAGGGAAGGGGGGTTGAAGAGGGGAGGGGAATGTGGGATTGACACATTTGCATTGCAGGGTGTCTGGCTGGCAGGTGCAATGGAGAAGACTGTCATGTAATTTCCTCGCCTCGTCCACTCGGGACATATTGGTGCGACTTTTGAGAATTCTCAACTATATTGGTGCGACTTTTGAGAATTCTCAGCTACATTGGCGCGACTTTTGAGATTTCTCAGCTATATTGGTGCGACATTTGAGAACTCTCAAAAGTCGCACCGCAATGGAGAACACTGTCATGTCATTTCCTTGCCCACTCGGGTCACCTGCTTGGAGAGGGGTGGAGAGAGAATGGGGGTAGGGAGGGGGGAGAGAAGGGGGAAAGGGGAGGGGAGGGGAACAGGGGCTGACACACTTGCATTGCATCGCAAGGTGTCTGGTAGGGGCGAAGGAGACTCTCATCTCGTCCATGCAGGTTGGCTGCTTGGATGGGTTTAGGGTTTTCCGGTTCAGGTGGGAGAGGGAGCGATAAAGTCGCTCGACTCCTTTGAGGAACTTTCAGGGACGGTGCATAAGGGCAG